CTAATTTTAATATTAGACTCACTGAAATATAATCGTGTAAATGAATCTTTAGCAAAACAGATTTGTGGCATTCCAAAGACTTTAAGAATTCCAAATGACTTTTGGCTATGTGCTTTTCGAAAAATGTGTAATCAAGAACTGAGCAGTATTATGTTTATGCACTTGCACTGTATTACTTATTTTTATCCTCACAGTGGCCCTTTGAATTTGGGATTACTGCCTATATTTTACAGGTGGGAAAACAGGTCCAGAAGGGCTCAAATCTTGGACACTTTATGGCCAGCAGGTGCCAGGACTGGAATCATGAAGGTCTTTTAAACTATAATCCTTGTCGTCTTTCTATTGTACTAAATGCCAAGGGAGTGAGCTAGTGTTGGATCATTTTCACAGACAGAATCACTGAATATTGGAGCTTTTCTTTGCTCTTTTCCTTTGGCCTGAAAAACTGACACGGCAGATCTGAGTTTTTGAATTGAGGAAAATGATTTTCTATTTTGGATCAGCAAATTCATCCCACGAACAAAGATAGGAGAAGGCATTTTACTTAACATGTCTTGTGCTCCCCTGCTCTGGCCGCCCCCCCTCCCCCCAGGACACCAGCTTTCTTTTCCTCAGGAATCTCTTGATTCTCAAAATTCTATGAGAAACTTTCCTAATATTGCATATGTTCAAAGTGAAAACCCAAAGATATAAGACAAAATACCATAAACAATATTTAAAAACTATTATTTGAATACATATGACAAAAAATTGACTTCTTGAATATATAAATAAATACATAAGTGAGTGAAAATATAATTCAGTTAAAAACGAGCAAAGGCTATAGCATGCAGTTTATAGTAGAAGATATACAAATAGTCAAGTGGTCAATAATATATGAAAAGATACTCAGTTTTACTCATTAGTAAAGAAATATAACAGAAGCAATACCTACAGGTGTGACAAAAATAAAATGAAGTGATAACATTGGTTAAGTTGTCAGGAAACAATTGCTCTTACTATCGTAACTTAGTAAAATTATTTTGGAAGGCAACTTTACAGTATTTATTAAAATTGTATGTGCCTATATGTACCCTTTGTCTTAGCAGTTCTCCTATAACTCATAAATGTGCAGAGATGCATATACATAAATGTAAATATGGAAATACATGTTATATACGTAGTTACCATGAACAAGAATTTTAAAGTAACAACCGCAGAACTCTGGGGCCCCCGTCCTAGAGATCTAATTCTGAAGATTTTAAGTTGGTCAGCACATCTATATTTAGAATATCTCCAGGGGTGATTCTGATTTGAAACCAGGGTTGAGAATCATTTTCCTATATATGGTCTCAAGTGACTGGTGGGGACAGCTCATCATTGTACAGATATAATAAATACCTGGGCACAAATGTAAAATGAAATATTTTATTTTCCTTAGAAAGTGGATGGCATTAAATTATTTTGTTTACGATTGTATTTAAACAGATTAAAAGGCACTTGAAATCCATGAATACATCCATATACGATAGCTCTTAATATCAAAGGCAATTCAGAGATTAGAAAGGAGTAGAAGATGACATAATTTTCAAGCAAGATTATAGTTTATCACTCTAGATGGCATATTGAGAGGGGATACAGGGGACTATAAGAGGGTACTGCTGTGCCCTAAGAAAAATGGTAGAGCTCAGCAACTCATAATCTGCGGATGGAATGAGGAGCTATTGGGTATAAATATTTCTAACACCCTTTAGAAGACAACTCCATCTGTTGTCAATAATCTGTTGAGCTATCTGTGGGTTTGTGAACAGAATAAATTATTTACTGTTTTATGTTTCTATGTTATGTCATAGACATAAAATATGTAATAATGTATACTGAAATTATTTACAGCTTAATCTGATAAAGAAAACAAAATGCAATTATTTATACTAAGAAATGAGTGAAACATGTAGAATAATGGATAATCTTTACATATTTGGTTTGGGACTGTTGAAAACCACCCAAACAGCAGAGACTCATTACTGGTCCTGAATCCCCCTCTGTTATTCACAGCCTTGTACTTACTATCTGGTGCAGAAGAAAGTGGAATTCTCAGGGAGACCCAGTTTTTAGCTAAGGAAAGGAGATGGAGAAATTTGTGAAGGGATAGGAAGGTAGAGGAGAGTTCGTTTAAAAGTAATTGAAGACCTAGAGGTCAGATAACAGAGGGTTCAAAGAAAATACCACCAACCCTCTCATAAATAATATAGAGTATTCGAATAAGAGTATATAGCTACATAGATTATGCATTTTGGGAGGAGGCCAAATATGACAGGGAAATGAGGCATGGTTTAATTACTGTAATTGGTCTTAAAGTTTTGACTTTAACTCCTTTGCAAAATATTTTCTGTGCCAGCATTGACTGTATATGTCGACTGTAGGTCTCATGCCAGGGGCTTCTGAGTGGGAAGGGGATTAAAAGGTGCTTGGGTTTCCTTTGTAAACTTCTAGCAGTATATCATCTTTATACATCTCTTATTATTATTTTTTTTAACCAACAAAATATTTGGTTTATATTTATTTCAAGCTTCAAATTATTAAATCAGAGTTTGGTGCTCAGTTTTGACTTACATATTGGTTTATATTACTGTGCTTAATAAGTAATCCATGCCAGTTACATATTATTTCATTAGCAACACTGGCTTCAAAGCAAATTTTCCTTTATTATATAATTAACAAAGGGACAATATATGAAAGTTACTGTTTCTGTAAAGTATCTGTTCTTTATGCAAGGAATGATATGAAAATCTGAGTAGGGAATTCAAGAGGCAAGAAAGGAATCATTTCATTTGTAAAAGCTGAATTTGAGAAAAGTTTTATAGAAAAATCAAGATAGTAGGGAATGAATAGATTCCCATAATTTTAGGCCTGGAAATATTTCACAAATTCTATCATCATGTGGACCATTTGTTTTGGTTTGATTTGATTAGTTCTGTTAAACTACTGACTCATCTTCCAAAAACCACCACCACGCTGCTTCTCTTCTGTTCCTTTTGTTAGCTTGAGTTTCATCTCATTCTCTGCCCTCCTGAAATGGCTGACACATACATACTTAGGTGATACAAAACTCTTCCCTGACCAGCTGGTTCCTACTATCAGCCAGGCAAAATTTAAGGACCTGAATTTCCAAGGAACCTAATGGAAACAAACCAGAAACAACACACCCTTAGATATGGGTCTGTAAGATCCATGATAGCTGTTCACAGAGTCAGTCATCTTCTAATGACTTCTTCGACCCATTTTAGCATTATCTTGCCTTTGCACTTTCTGTTCCTTCTAATATCCCCAATCCTTTTTGTTGGTTCTAACTCTTACATCAGCCCCAGTTATCAGGATCCCTTGTTATAGGCTCACTTAAAAACCACTTTTTCTTTCAGAGCACTTATTTTATAAATCTATTGGGTCTACTTGCTTATCTTCATTAAGAAACTAATTCTCTTTATGGCTCTGAGTGGCAGGAGAGAAAGGCAAAAAGCAACAGGAAAAATCAGAGGTAAGAAGTAATGAGGAAGATCTTAAAATTAAACTAAATATTTATTTTGCAAAGCATCTTTTCTGTCCTAGACCTTATCAACTTGTCAGTAATTTTCCAACTACCTGGTGAAGATGGGGCTTATAAAGATTTTCCTCCCTAGGTTCCAGAATTTTAAAATGTGCCTCTCTTCTTCATTCCTCTATGTCTTTCCTTGCCCCGTACTATGGTAAAATTATTAGTAATAAATATAAGAGCCTAATACAGTCACGTGTGTAACAAACTCATAAGGGGCAAAACTTTAGTAATGGTAGGGAACTTAGGAGTAACCTAGTCCCATTTCCATTTTTTATAGATGAGGAAATTTGAGGCTAATCAAACTTATCTGGCTTAGTAAGTCACATATTGACTTAGTCAAAAAACCAGCACTGGAACCCAGATCTTCTACCTTCCAATCAAGTCAATTTCTCCTTCCTCCACTTGTTCTTTCTTTGCTGGGGTTATTAATAGCATAGGAGATGGTTGAAAGTATTGTTATTCAACTATTGTTGCTTCTTCATTTAATTTTTTAAATTAAAGAAAATTTTTAAATTTTAAGTGTTTTTTTCTATCTATCATCTATCAATCATCTCTCTGCCTATCTAGTTGAATCTAATCTAATTGTAGCTTAGTAACTGAACACTGAAATTATACTAATCTAAAAATTATTCTTCAAATTTTCACACAATAACTAAATCATTTATTAAAAATGAAAACCTAGTAAGCATGTTAAATTTGTTTATGATTAGCTGCTGACATAAACATGAAAGTAGACCCCTTGTACTTTAGATGACACTGGCTTTTGCATTTGCTGTAGAAGGCAGTCCACAAGAGTGCTTCTTCACATGGACTCTATCATTTTGGCAGATAATTTTACTTGTTCTTTTTTTAGTAGAATGCCAATGTTTTGAACATTGGAAAAATTATACCCTATTATAAAAATAATTAGCTTTGGTAAAGCATAAAAGGAAAATAAACATATCTTTTGTTTTTTGAAATAATTGAGGGTAATTTTAGAGGTGGTAAAGGAAAAAATCCCTATTGACTATTACATGTTAACACACAAGTAGTTTGTTTTTAACATTTCGTATAAAGAAAGGGCAAAATAGAATCTGAATGTGTCAGTTAAATTAGTTGTGGGTTTTTTTTTGTTTGTTTATTTGTTTTTGGTTAAGGTCAGATACCCAGCTTCATAAGATAAATTATTTGGTCCTGTACACCATATTGTGTTTACTATAATACAGAAATAAAATATCATAAAAGTATTCCTGTGTATACACTTTTCTAAATCTGTTTGGAGTTTTATGGATCTCAAGCTATCCATATGACTCTGTTTCCTTATATCTGAAATTACTAATTAGAGCCTTTAGAGCACAGGAAAATACTAGCAGATTTTGCTTTCAGAGTAAATCATCCTTGTTTTTTCATCCATCTTCTCAAAAGAAATATAAAAATGAAGTCAAATGAATAAATTATTGAATTCTGAATTTATTTCACTTCTAGATCTTTTTGAAATGAAGGTCAGGGAGTAAGATTTGTATAAATTTTGGTAATATTTTAGACTTAAATGTAGAAGTTAACATGTATATATTTTCTGTAATTCCACAATGAAGCTAGAAGCAGAGCTTATGTATATATTTGTTTGCATGTATCCTTCAGAGTGAAATCTTTAACAAACTTAACAGTATAGATATATTCATAAAATGAAAACAATGTAATATAGTACTGTAAGATCCACAACCACACTTTCTGATTTTAGCTTCCTTTAATATTAGGTTGTCATCAGATTCCATAATTCTTTTAAGTTAAGAATGAAATCACATTTCATATTTATTTCTAAGGATTATTATTTTTCATTATTCAGCCTCATGGTAACTAGCAGATTTGAATATTTTGGAACTTAAGAAATAGAAGACAAAATAAGGGATTTCATAAGCCAAATGGAAGATTTTAAATGATCAATTGACTTATTTTATGCAGTATGCTTTTTAGTAGTTGTAAAACAATATAAACTTTAACAATACTGTTCCTGTAGTCAATAATGACTGGGTACTTAAGTGATAACTAGAATTGTATTTTCTGTCCATATGGCTTAATTTGAAAATGGGAATTCCATTATTTTTGTTTCAAAAGTTTTTTTTTTTTTTAATCTTTTGGGGTCTAGTCTTCATATTGCTGCCATTTAAAAATAGATATTAAATAATCTTTTCAGATTTATTAGATAATATAGAAAGAAAAAGTATCCTAGGAACTTACCAGGGAGATAGATACCTTACAAGGGATAAAAAGTGTTTCTGCTTCAAAATTTTTTTTTAGTTGACTTTAAATTTGGAGAACAGAATGGTGCAGTGTGAAAAGCAAACCAAACCATAAGCTTTAGAGCCAGATAGACTTACTTTGCACAACCATAGAATGAATATCTTGTGACCTTTGACAAGTTACTTGACATTTCTCTGTCTCATTGTCCACATGTGGGAAACAATACCTATCTCCTAGGTTTATTTTAAGTGTTAAATGAACAATATATATTTAAGTGTGCCTGGCACAAGTTATGTGTCAATAAATGCTTATACATTTTCCCTAATAAGATAGACTCTGATTCTCAACTATGCTTCCCCTGTAATATATTAATTTGGGGAATAAAGAATTGATGGAGAAATAAAGATTTTTTTTAATTTAGCACAAAGACAATTCTTTTTATAAATCTCTTAAATTTTTCTGTTCCCTCTTCTCTCATTCATACACATATACACATACTACATGTATAAATTTTTCAATGTATGTACAACCAGTTCTTATAAATTTTTGTTGGTATTAACAATTATTACAAACAGTAAGAAATGTGAACCCCTTTGAGTCTTTAGCATTTCAAGGGAGTTAGTGGTAAATTATCCACATCTTGGAGTCCAGCTTCTATTTTTTTTTTCTTTATTAAAGCAGTGAAGTAGCAGTTGTTTCAATGCTGTAATGAATCAAACAATACTGGAAATTAAATCCCAAAGCAGTGCACCATTAGCAGATATTAAGACATTCCACGAGCCAGCATCATATATTTTCAGCGGTTTTATACTCAATCTACTTTTTCAGCAACACTTTGGGAAATATCCCAAGATAATTTACTGAGTAAGTGCATCAGTCTTTTAAAAGACATTTGGAATATTTCATAGTTTGATCCCCTGAGACACTCTAATAAAGGAGACAGAAATTTTAACAAAGAAATAAATAGATTAAGGATGCAAATAATCTAGGCATTGGCACTGGATCATAGCTTCATTAAAGAGCTGCAGCTCTTCCTCACCTCTTTACCAAGGGCCACAAGTTTCTTTGTTGTTTAAAGACTCTCCATTAATTAAGACAGTTACTGAAAAACAACTCAGAGGTACAAAATATCACGAAATCTTTTCAAATGTCAATTTACACGAGTGTTTCTGTATATATTGTATATCCTATATTGTATATAGATGAAGCAAACAGTTACAGGCTGCTCTCACTACAATCGACCACTTTGTTCTGTTGGAGGACATCTGGAACACCACAGATATATCTCCTGGACTGAATATCAAACAGCAAGTGCCTGCCCCTTTCTGAGAGCTGTCCTGCATCAACCTGATCCAGGAATTTTAGAATGCATGGGCAAATTCGAGGTGGCTCCCCAGCCTCTTTTCCCCTTCACTATCCAGTGGAGCTGAGCACGAGACTCCAGGGCTTCCAGGGAGTATTGTTTTCCACGTGACTTGCCGTGTACCGCACAGTGTGTAAAGCGTTGGGCGCCTACTGACACTCGTATCGACAGTCATCATCCTAGTCTGGTCCTCAGTCTTCAGGTTTTCCTTCGTAGCCCCCTAAGGCCTGAAGTGAGGCTTTTTCAAGGCCAGTGGGGCTACTGTCTCACTTATCTCCTTCCGGATGCCAATCACTATTGCCACCCTCTCAGCCCCAATCATCTTCCGCGTGAAGATTGGCAGTCACCAAGGGTCCTTCGTGGACTTCACATTCAACTTTTTGCCAGAAAACCCTACAAAGTAAAGGACCCCTCGGAACTGAACACTTCGCTCCAAAATCTTGCTGGAAATCCACTCGCCCTACCTCTTTTAATTCATGGTGAGTGTCGAGGGCGGGATCCAGGAAACAAAATTATTTTTGGCCTACCCCTCCCTCCCCACAGAGTCGAATCACCGAGGAAGGCTTTCAGGCTTTCCTCCGCTCCGCGTTTGCAGCCTTCATTGAACTCAGTTGGGGGTGGGGAATTGGGGAGAAAAAAGCCTTTGTGCACCTGCCATCAGTCTCCAGCGGCCACACGCAGGTACCGGGCGACGACGCGGTGGCCCCTCTCTTCAGCCAGGTCCACGGGCAGGCGGCCCCAGGCATCGCGCACGTCCAGCCGCGCCCCGGCTCGGTGCAGCGCCACCACCGTGTCCAGGAAGCCCTCCCGGGCGGCGTCGTGCACCGGTCGGGTGAGAGTGGCGGGGTCGGCGCAGTTGGGGTCCGCGCCGTGGAGCAGCAGCAGCTCGGCCACGCGGGCGCTGCCCATCATCATGACCTGCGGGAGGAAGCAGAGTGGTCAGGGCGAGGGAACAGCAAGATGCAGGCCTGGGTAGAGACAGGTACAGCCATTTCAAAGAAATACCTATTTATGAAGTATCTACCTAATGCAAGGGCGCACACTAGCCTCAGGAGTCTGGTTAGGCTCCATTTGCTAACGCAATATCCCACACTCCCCAGTCTCTCCACCCGCTCCAGTCATGCTCTTTACTAATAGAGCTCCATTTTATTCTCCGAACATGCCGAGACAAGAAAGAGCTGATGATATAGTGCTTGTCGTCCTCGTGAGAAAAAAAGAAAATTTTGATTTCCATTTAAACATGGGAATCTATTTTGTTAAATGATTTATAGAAGAAATTAAGTTTAAAGGCTTTTAAAGTCTTAAATTATTTTCTTGCCCCCCCATCCCCGCCATTATCCGGGTCTAAAAATCTTTACTAGGCTGTCCGCTGATATATATTTTTTAGAAGTCAGAATAATGCTTTAGGGGGAGAAAATAAGAAACAACTAAGTTTAAAATAAAGTTTACTTTGTTTAGTTCTTGTAGTAAATCCTGTTTTTGCTTTTCAGTCATATATGTTTGTGCTCATAACGAAATATAGTTCAACAATTTGAGCCAAAATTGGAGATAAAGGGGAAAAAGTAAAGTCACACACTATAAGATTATGTTAACAAATTATTTGTTTTTTTAAAAAAAAATTTAAGGTAATGTTATAGAGAATGGCAAAAGTTTAGAGGGTAATTTAATTTTATCCTCTAAATTAAATTAGAGGGTAATTTAATTTAGAGGATAATTTAATGTAACATGTAAAACACTGTATTTACATTGCACAGGATTTTGTAATGTGCTAGATTTTATAATGTTAAATAGTAAATATTTTACTTTATAAAAAGAGCGTGTATGTTAGTAGTTGAATCAGAACAAGGCCTAACTTAAAAAGATGTTTGAAGCAGTAATTCTATAGTATCCATTTGTATACATGTATGTTATGCAAGCATTTACACTCTTATTTTAACAATAAAATAATTTTGATAACTAAATATCCAAAATGGAGTTATTTGTTCTTGTGACTTTGTGTTTTAAAATGTATTATGTTGAAACTAATATAAAATAATATCGAATGTCAACTGTAATTTTAAAAAAGTACCATGCAATTGAAAGATAGTATACTAATTTTTGTTTCCTAAATATTAAAATCATCCATTTCCTCCATTAAAAACTGTATGTTATTTCTACTAGTGATATAAAGGCCATTTCACATGTGGAGAAGAGGGGAAAATATGGTTCTTAATATCTCAAAAAATGGTGAGTTAATACTGTAAATAAAACCTCTTTTTACAATTATTATAATTTGAAGTCTTTAAAAGCTACTTACCCATGTTTTTGTTGCTTTAAACTACATCTCATTATTTATATTTTTCTAAGAATTTAAAGGGAATGAACAGTTTTTTTTTCTCCTTTTTAAAATCTATGCTATTAACAAGGTTCCTTAATAAAAGCTTGGGTCTGGAAGGTTAGGGTGAGGTGAAAACTGAAGATGACAATATTCAACAATATAGCACAAAAACATTACCTTGGATTTTAAAGGACTTAAAAATAAATCTGTACTAATTAAAGTGGGATTAATAATTAAACAATGAATAATTGTATTTTATCATGAACAGGCTAATTATTTATGAAGACTCTTTTCCATTTAAAAGGAACCTAACAGTTGTTGCGGGAGTGCTTTTTTAATCTAAGCATTCGGTATGATAATTAAGCAATAAAAATCCATAGAAGCATTTTTCTTTCTTATGTAATACTCAAGAGACTGCTAACAAAATAAAAGGAATTAAGTGTTGTGGTTGAGGAATCCTATCTGTTCCTTTGTATTCATTTCGCCTTTATAAGGAAAATACATAGAATTTCACATCGCATTTTTTTCATGTGCTATGATTTTTTTATGATTCCTTAAATCCAATCCTGAATGTGTAACTTGTAATTTATCTCTATCGCTGAAAGTAGACATACAGACAAGACAGTTCTCCTCCCCGAGTAACCTTTCCTTTTGTCCTTTCTTCCTCAACCGAATCTATCAATACCTTGCATCTCTGATCATGAGACGGGAGAAGAAATATTGATATGTTTTACATCTTTAAAAAGAATACGAAACTGAAGCAGTGGGTTTTTCATTCCCTTTCTGGAAAGACAGAGTGGAGACCTAGGCCCCAGTCTCGTCCCACGAGGCCGCGCCCCCGCATTAGTGCGCCCCCTGCCGGCGAGGCCCCGGGGCCCCAGCTACCTGGATCGGGCTCCTCCCGAAGCAGTTGACTTTGTTGGGATCCGCACCGGCTTCCAGGAGCTGTCGCACCATCTCAACTTGCCCCCGCGCTGCAGCGCTGGCCAGTCCCGCATCGCCGCCGCCGCCACTGAGAACGCCCTTGTCCTCCTCTCGCATTTCGCGTCCCCAGGCGCAAACTAGCCCGGATGATCCACTGCTGACCGTGAGCTTCACGACACTCCTCCCTCCCTTCCCACCTCGCCCTGGCGCGCGCTCTCCTCCCCGGGAATGCTCAGCTCAGCTTCGGTCAGTCCCCTTTCGCCGTCCTTCTGTGCCTAGCGGGCGCGTGCAACGGCCGGGCGGCCTGTCGTTAAGCCGGACTCGCGAATCAGCGGACGCGCTCGGCTCGTTCCCAGGAAAGGTCCCTCGCGCGACCGAAGCCGAGCGCAGAGCAGCTCCAGCCGCAGAGTACCGGTGCGTTGCCGCGTGCTGACTCACTGCGGAGCTTCGCTCTAGCAGTGTGGAGAGTCGGCAAGGAATGAAACGGTTTCTAGCCGGGCGGCGGGGCTGGGCTCTCCCCACCCCCCTAGGCTCCGCCCGCTGTCCGGAGGGCCGGCGGGCGCGCAGACTGCTTTCACTGTGCAGGGTCGGGGGCCGGGGAGGC